GGGTGAGGGTGCGTGAGGGGAGGGGAGGCAGCATGTGTGCGTGTGTGAAGAGGAGGGAGTGTATGAAAGAGGGAGAGAGCGGTTGAGAGTGTGCATGTGTAAGAAAATCAGAGAGAGAGAGTGTGTGTGTGTGCCCATGTGTGTGTGTGTGTGTGCGTGTGAGTGTACACGCGAGCTCTTGGTGCTGGGTCGGCAGGGCGCAGGGCCCGGGAGCTTCTTGTTGTGGAGGAGCCCTGCCGAGCAGAGCAGAGCAGCAGATGTGCAGCCGCACCCCCCATCACGCGGTCGCCCCAAGCGCAGGCGAGGCGCTCGGCGCCCGCGCCGCGCGACATGTGGGCAGGGGACCGGCGGGGCGGGGGCGGGGCTGAGGAGTGGAAGCTGCCGCGCACCTGCAGGAGCCGTCCAGGGCTGTGAGGAAGGCGCGCTCCGTGACGACGGCCACGCGCGTCTCCTCGTGGTTGAGCCCCGCCAGGTAGCGCGCCGCGGCGCCGTCGTCGGTGCGGCACGCGATGCCGATGGCACCCTGCGGGGTCCCCGGGGGCGCGCGGCGCGCGGGGGGCTCGCGTCAAAATGCTGCAGGGGAGGTGCTGATGTTGCTGCCCTCTTGCCGCCGCAGCTGCGCAGGGCGGCCGGGGAGGGGGGGGGCGCCATGCCCTCGACGCCGAATCCGCCGCCGACCACAACCGCGCAGGTGCGCCCGGCGGGCGCTGATGTAATCATGACAACCCCCCCCCCTCCCACACACGTACACAAACTTTGAGGACCCCCCACCTGCGACACAGCGGGCAGCATCTCCTCGTTATCCAGGATCTTAGTAATGTGCTGAGTCATGTCCAGGCGCTTGAGGCCCGCCAGCGCCAGCAGGGTGGCGGAGCACTCGCCCTCCTGCAGCTTGCGGAGCCGCGTCTGCACGTTGCCGCGGAAGTTCACCACCTGGGTTCGGCAAGGGGGCGGGGGACGGGGGACGTGTTCAAAATCCGCGCCGGCGCGGACGACAATCAGTGCTGGCCGCCCAAGGCCGACCCCCCCCTGCCCTGAACAGCTCCCTACGCGGCGTGCAGCGCTTTGCGCCCACACGCTCGCCAGCCCCCGCCCGTCCAACTGCCCAAACCTTCCGCTCCCACCCCTGTCTTCCCCCAACGAAGCAGCACGTCCTGCCTCCAGCAGCCCCGGCCACCCAGCCGCGCGCCCGCCCACCTTGAGGTGGGGGTACTTTGCCAGGATCTGGGCCTGGCGCCGCAGGCTGGCGCTGCCCACGATGGCCCCCTCTGGCAGCTCAGACAGGTCCTTGGCCACGGGGCTGATGAACACGTCGCGCACGTCCTCGCGGGGCAGGTTGCAGGGCAGGATGGTGCCCTCGGGGAGGTACGTGGGCACGTCCTGTTTGTTTAGGGGGGAGGGGGGAGGGGCCGGAGGGGTGGGCGAGAGGTCGACGGTCGCGGTTTCGCGGGCTGGTGTTTGTCGCGCGCCGCCTCGGCTGCTGTCCTGCCGTGGCGGGCGGGGGCCCCGGTGTCCGGCACGCGCAGCCGGCCGTTCCGCGTCGCCGCACCTTCATCGAGCGCACACATACACACACACACACACACACACACACACTCTCTCTCTCTCTCTCTCTCATGCGCACACACACATGCGCGTGCGCCCCCAGCCGCACCTTCATGGAGTGCACCGCGATGTCGATGCGGCCGTCAAGCAGGGCATCGTCGATCTCCTTTGTGAACAGCCCCTTGCCGCCGATGTCCGCCAGCGGCTGGTTGAGGATCTTGTCGCCGGTGGTCTTGATGATCACAATCTCCAGGGCACCCTCCTCCGCCAGCTCGGCAAAGTTGGCCTTTTGGGGTTTTTGATGTGTTTGGGAGGAGGGAGGCGGCAGAGCGGTGGGAACCGGGGGGGGGGTGGCCGGTTCAGGGGCGCAACCGCCTGGGGGCTGGAGGGATTTTGCCGGCGTCGAAGAAAGGGCCGCTGCTGCTACTGCGAAGGGCTGCGCAGTTGTATGAATGTCGTGCCCTCGCAGCATCTGTTGCTGCTGCTGAGGGCGCGGGCCACTTGGATTGCCTTCTCGCGTGGTATCGCAGCTGGGGCGCACACGCGCGCGCTTGCCGCCGCCAGCGGCGGAGCCGTGCGCCCGCCGTATCGGCGGC